AACCTTTGCCCATTTCGGGATGATAATACCACCTTAGGGAATATGGATAGGGTAAGTGGTTATTCCTATACTGGTCTTGGTAATGGGGTAGTAGTGGTGATATAGCGGTGATATAGTCGGTGAGGTGTAGGGGGGAGTACAGATCTTCGGCCCTAGCAGTAGGTATCCAAATTGCGAATCAGATCCAGCCTTGAGCATCTGGACGGGCAGGGCAAGACGGAGTCCAGCAAGGAGAAAGAGGCAGGATGGAGAGTTTGTCACCTTGGTTGTGGTGTTGCTAACCCTCTTTTTTTTCGAGCAGCTAGGTTTGCACGACAGCTGATGCAAGACGATGTGGGATGAAGGTCTGATGTCTAGGAATCGGGGAATGTGGGGATGAGAGTTCAGGGATGCTTGTGGAGCTGAGATCTAGGTTTGATGTTAGGGCGTATACCCAGACCCCGTGGAGTGCCGCAGAGCTTAGCAATTGCGTCGGTGGCTTGAGGTCAGACAGCACACGCTGTGCCATTCGTATCGGAAGGGCACAAACCTGGAGATCCACCTTCCATGTGAACATGTCGTACCCAGAGGCCTTCTTCTAGCTGCCAGCCCCCTGTCTCCCTGCCACCCCGTTTTTAAGTGCTGACGGTCTCGGTTTAAGGAGGTATGAGGTTGCAGAGTATGGTTTACGAAAGTCTTCAAGTCCGGGTACTCTCAACAGGGGAAGACCTGGGTCCCGCGTTCTCTCCCGTTCGGTGGAGGGGGGTCACACTAGACTGTGAACCGCAAGTTCATTGCCTAAACCACGACACCCTAAAGCCGTAAGCCCGTGAAACAAACCATTGGCACCACTTGCCCTGACCTCGGGCAACATGTACCCCGCGCCCTGTGTTCAAGATTGGTTCGTTATCCTCGGCAACGCAGGGTTTCCCATGATGAAAATGTGTTGCACCACCGCATCGCCCCGGCGTCCATAGTCCCCAACGTTGAAGATCTGCGTTGAAAGGTGTCAGAAGCCAGCCAGGAGGCGGTGCAAGATTCCTGCATCCACTGTAGCAGGTAGTACGAAACCCTCCAGCTCCACTTCGCCTCCTTGCATAAGTCGCCTTTCAATCCTAAACCTAAATTCGATGCCAGACCCTGGACCTGCAAAGCCCGAAGCCTAAGATCTCGAATTCCAATCCTGATGTTGCCCTCTGAGTCCACTGCCCCGGTAGGAGAAGCCGAAGAAAGCCATCCTCACCCCTGCATCTGCCGTCTCTGATGAAAAGAAGGAGTTGTTCTTCAAGTCTGTGTTCCGAGTCTGTGTTTTCGAGAGGTTCATGTTTGAGACTTAGGGTATCGAGATAGTGGCGGACGGTATGGCCGGATGGAAACTTCCATCTTTGCTGGTCCTTTCCCGACACTTCGGAGTTTTAGGAGGCGTGACATTTACGCTTTGACGCTCCTGGGGCTTGGGCTTCCTCATGGCCTAGGCAGATTTGGGAGCTTCGTTGTGGCCAGCCGTTGAAAAAGCAGAATGAAGAAGTTGTGATACTGGCGCTTCATCGTGCTTTTTTCGACTATGGGACAAACTCCGTCCAGTTCTTCAAGCCCAAAAATATTAGGATTCCATCAACTCTTGCTTTTGGGGACGACCCTTGGCTAGGACGATGATGACGAGGAGGGCAGCGCTGAGACGGACAAGGTGGGAGGAAGGGGGGTCGACTTGACGGCACTAATGCTCGTTATGGCAGATCAGAATTCGGGTTTTCCGGGTCACGAGTTCGCCCGTCATTCCGATGTCAGTCTGACCTGCAGAGGACAGGGTGCCGAGCACGAACCCCATGTGAAATCCCTTTGTTCCCTGCATCGCTCCGGGTTTGAGACTTCCGAAGGTTTCCTTCTCGGGGTGGAGTTTCGGTCGTTTAGCTTCGGGTTCGTTCAGCTGCTGTGCCGTTCGATCACACGCAACCCTTGCGAGGTGGAGGAAGACAGCGAAGAGGAGGAAGAGGACTGCCTACGATTGGCCTAGTCTGCAGGGTTTAGGACTGGGGACTCTTCAGCGCTGGCTTAAGCTCGGCTGTGCTGCCCGAAGCTCGGTTTGGGTCCCCCGGCGGCGTGGGTTGTTCCCCTGCATCTCCTCACCTCCGAAACCTTCTTTAAACTTTCGACTATGGCCTCGGCCGGTGTTTCAGCATAAGCATTTTGCCAGACTGTGTGTGGGATGTTCCCAGGCCTCGATGTTGGGGTTGTGCTAAGTCTGACAGTTCCTTGATGTTCCTTGGCAGCTCCAGGCCGCCGCAACAGCCCTCCAACTGTGACAAACCTGAGTCTCAAACCTCATCAGACCATCTCAGATCTTAATCTAAGTTGCGCCTGACTTAGTTGCTAGATTCCCCGTTGGCAGGAAGAGGAGGAGGAGAAGGAGGCCGAGGATGCAAAAGCAGACGAGGAAGACAAGGCGCGATCGAATGTCTTCAGACGTTCGATCAACATAGCTATACCGGCATTGCTTATTGGTAGCTGGGCTTCAGAGATCAACACAAGATAAGGTTGCCACATATTCACATTGTGCTCGCAAAGTGGGTTTCCAAGCGGCGAGCGGGTCGGCTGATCGCCTGATAGGCTGGTCGGGTTTAGGGTTTAGGGTTGAGGGGTTTAGGGTTTCGGGGGTTCAGGTTTAGGGATTTAGGGTTTAGGGGGTTTAGGGTTTAGGGTTGATTGGCTGATCGGCTGATTGGCTGATCGGCTGATGCACGGTTTTGGGCCCAAAAGCCACGATCACTGCACATAATGGCTGTGTTACGATGATGAAGATGCTTGCTTGTGTTCAGTGCTGCTCTTAATCGGTGTATGCATCCCGTACAAGCATACTTCATGCCTTCGTGTAAGCGCTTTCTACTCTTCCTAACCGTGTTCAGGCAACACCTGAGGTATGCTGCGCGTTTACCCAGGCCTCCGCCGAAGAGAGCCCGACAGAAAAGGAGGGCGAGGCCATCCCGGACCGCCTATTAACCTAGTACGCCTATTACATCTATAGCTTGTAGAAGCTGACATCTGGAAAACCTCACTGCAACACCTTTCATGACTTTCATGGGATTGAGGAAGCGAGGCAGATGAACCCTCTCTCCTAAATCGTGCTTTGGGAGTGAAGCTTCTATGGCAGCATGATGATTGAATAGTTTCGCCAAAGCTTCGGGATGCGCTTTTTGCTCTGATTAGCCGAGCTTGGGCTTGGCTTGGTGCTTGGACTTCTGTAGCTGCATATGTGTGTTGTTCGCAGATCTACACAGCGCCAGCATAGATGCTTTAGCCTCTCCACCTTCAGCATGCAGGGAACATCTGACGAACATGCCCCTCAGTCATTCTTTCGTCGGCAGCATTTAGCACCTCCACATTCTGCCAACATGCTTGTCTTCTATGGTCACGTGTTTCAATACATCTCAGCCTGAGCCCGTTTCCTTTCGTGCGAGACATCTTCCACAGTAGCTGAACAAGTCGAGCAACTCGACGAGCTCGCAGCCCGAAGCCGGAAGACAGGACGAAGATTCAGATGATGATGAGGAGGAGGAGAAGAAGAAGAGTGCGTCGGCAAAGCCCGCCAAAAGCTCCAAGGCGGAAGCAGATGCAGGTTGAACAATTTTTGAGACAGGGACCACCGGCGCCATGTTTGTAGCTTGTTGATCTCAGATCTAGCGAAAAGCTCAGCATGTTCGCCGGTAAGATGTGATGAACCTAGGTGACACGGTTTGATCCAGGATATGGCTTCAGAATATCGTTCTCGAATCCGTGTCTGCCGCGGCTTACGACCTGCACACCAGCCTGCAATTGTCAATGGCTTCGGTTTTTCGGGGTGCTCTCCTGCCCAGCCCTGAGCTCGAAGTTATCAACACCAAGCTCCCACACCGCAACGAAGCAGGCGCCTGCCAAAAAGGCAGACGACGATGATGACGACTCCGACTCCGATCGGGATGTCGAAGCTGCTACTGCAAGTGATACATGTCTATGACTCTGTATATCTGTCTATCCGTAGAGGTACATATGTGTCAGTGGTACGTGCATGTGTATGATCCGGTAGGTAGGTAGGCAGGTAGGCTGGCAGGCAGACAGGCAGGCAGGCAGGCAGGCAGGCAGGCAGGCATGTGAATGTATACACGTGTAGATGTATATGTGTATGTATGCACGTACACACGACTGTATGTATGGTATGTAATGTACGTATGTAGTGTAATGTAATGCTCTGTACTGTAAAGGAATGTTAGGTTATGGCATGGTATGTCTGTCATGTCTGTAACATGTGTGATGTATGCAATCTGTGTAATCTAGTCTATGTAATGCTTGTATGCTGTGTGAGTGCGTGCATGTGTGCAGAAATGTTTTTTTGAGCAAGTATGCATGTACCTATGTTCGCATGCATGTACATCTGTGTGTGCGAGTGTGTGTGTGTGTATGTATCTGCGTGTGCATGCATGCATGCATGAATGCATTTATGTAAGGATGTAGGTATGTAAGTACATTTGTGCACCCTCCCAGATACCATCGCCGTTTCTGAACAGGTTGCATTTCCCGAATTTTTAGTTCCCAAGCCAACTCCAAGGATGGGAGTGAGGAGGATGATGACGATGCCAATGACGACGACAACGATGACGACGAGGACTGACCTCGATGTCTGACTTCAGAATTCAGGCGATTAGGGTCGACAAGCTCGTTGGTTGAGTTTCAATAATGGGATTTTAGTTGAATTAGGGGACAAAATGCGGCTTTGACGATTCCATACCTGGGCTTGAGCTTCTTGGGCGAGGTGGGAGGTTTGATTTGGGTGTAGGTCGGCGTCGGCTTTCCTGAAACCTATGTCCCTTGAGCCATGGACTGGGGTGGTTCAAGCAAACTGAGCCTGCCGAAATGCGAAGCTGAATCTGGACTTGGCTCTCCAAACCCTCTTGCCAACAACATCTCCACCAGCCCTCATAGCATTGCTGAAGAAGGAGTCCTCGGATTCCGAGTCGGACGAGTCGGAGGCTTTTGCTCTGCTCGGGTTTGGTCAGCGTTCAGGAGGAGAGACAACTGAAACCTGAAAGCCCGAGTGGACAACCCAAGGCCCCTGTAGCCTGATCCTGGACCCCACACCAACATTGATTCATGTCTCGTGTCCCTCTCCGCTGTCCCCAGACCTTCCGTTCTTCATGCCACAGCGCTGTGTGCCACTTGTGGATCCACAATGGAAAGTCGACAGCTTGTGATTGCGGTCTGAGAGGCCTCATGGAGTAGCTCAGGAGCTCGCCCCCCATGAAGCTGAGACGACAGAAGCAAGCTTGTCTCCGCGAGCATGAAACTCAAGTCCTGAACCACAACGCTCAAAGCTGCCAGGCGAAGGCGAAGAGCAAAAAAACCGCGAAAGATTCAAAAAAGAGCAACTTTGCCTAATGTCAGGGGCAGCTTCGCTGGGAGATTCAAGAGTTTCATTGGTCTGCGGGATGATCGCAGCTACAAGTTTGTGACGGTCCTGGGCGGTGAGTGCTTGCAACAAAATGCTTTCGACGTATGCTCGTGCTTCGATGTGACGATCCTTCTGTACTTCCAGGCCCATGAGCCTCGCAACTTTCCAGTGTCCGTGAGTCTCACATGAACGGAAGCCCTGCAAATGAACTAAGGCTCCCTTCGTCAAGTCGCACACTTTGAGAGTCCGATGAAAATCTTTGAGAGCTCTGTAGACCAAGGCGACAAAAAGGACAAGAAGGAGAGCAAGAGCTCGAAAAAGAAGGACAAGAAATCTAAGAAAGAGGCCAGTGCGCTGTGGTTTCGAAGCCCTTCCCCGCAGCCAATTTCTGCACGAGAGGGTGCCCCAGACGATCCCAGGGCCGCGAGCATTGGTGATTGTGTTTGTTCCTGCAGGGGATCCTGAAACCGGGGTGGATATCAGGCATTGGCTTTGAGGCTCGAGGGTTGGGGTGAACCCGAAGCCCTGCTTTCGACCCGACGTCTCAAGATCCAACGTCACTCTCAAGGTGAAAAAGCCTAGCAAAGACAAGAAAAAAAAGAAGGACGAGAGCGATTCTGACGAGGTCGGAGCTTGGAATTTTGGATTCTAAAGTTTCGGTTGGGGTCTTCCGAGGTCCGAGAGTCCAAGGACGCATGCCTGAAGGATCTGTGGGCTTCTTCAGTCTAGGGATTTACGAGCCCTGCAAAGGCTGCAAAGGCTTACGGTACCCTTATAACTTTTGAGAGGAGTGTAGAGTTGAGGATTGAGTTGAGGATTCTAGGGCCTAGGGCCTAGGTTTGATCGTCCAGGCGTTCTTCAGGTTTCCGTCTCTTCCACCTTTCTCTGGTTATGCGATGCCGGTAAAGATGGGGAGGGGCTCAGGACCGAGAGGGCCGAGGCTCCAAGACAAGGTTTGTGAAGTGCCTCTGTTGTCGATAGCCTCTCCTTCCTCCTGAGACCTAATTAGGAAAGCACCGAAACCCCAAACCTCCGAGGACAGCGAAAGTGACAGCAGTTAGCTGCTGCACGCTTCCTGCGCGGCACAGAGCTTGCCATGTGCCTCGCGGGCGACGTATCTGGCGGTATGGGGGTCTGACCGGAAGCTGATGCCCTTAGCTGGCCAGTGGATACATTTGGAAAGCTTGCAGTGCAGTGCGCCTGTCACTCCGCGTCCGTTCCACCAGCCAGACCCCCTTGCCGCTGCGTAGATCGGCTGTCGGTAGCCGCTAGAATCCGTTTGATGAAAAGAACGTGTCACCCAAAAGCTCCGCTAACACCGGACATGCTTTCCTTGCAGAGGTGCAGTTTCTGGTCAGCCCGAGCCCAGGCGACCGAAGCACGCCTCTGAGGGTTTTGCCTCGTCACCTCACGTAGGAGTCGGGCGGGTGCAGCAAGAGCAGACGACTCAAAGAGCCCAAAATCTGAAATTTAGGCGAAGCCCTGCAGGACCACTTTCCGCAAGAGCTAAGGATTTGACCGAGTCAGGCCCCGAAGTTCCACAGTCCGAGACTCCTCGATTCGGCCAAACTCTACACTGTCTACACCTCGAGCACCTCACAAGCATGAACGCAAACTTGTCCCTGCCACCCGCCCGTGCTCTGAGCCTCAGAAGATGAGTTGAAGTTGTCGAAGGATGGCAGTGAAGTCATCGAAAGCACGCATACAGACACCAACACATACCAAACGTTTGCATGCCTGTTTTTTTTTAGAAGGGGTTTGACACTGAAGGGCAGGGTCTTAATTAGTCCTCTACATTTTCAGCCGGTCCGGGCATGCATTAAGTAATTGTACACGGATCGGAGCAATCGCAGATGGAGCCGCATCTGCTGGATGAGTAACATCCGTTCAAAACAGAGGTCAAAGCAACGAGAGAACTCCATTCCTTCTGCGACCATGTTCAGGAATGAACAGCGTTTTGGCAGAGGTTTGGCGTGATGATGTTACATGCGTGTTGTTGTTGCTGCTACATAACCTGACTTCCAACAACCTGTCTACAGTCCACAAACAAAAGCCTTCGCACCCTCAGCCCAAACCCCTGCACGTTCAACCATCGATGTTATAACCTAGCACCAGGGACTCTCCTACACCCTAAACTCTAAGACTCTAAGCCTCCAGGCGTTATTAGCCCAGCCCGCGCCTGCTCCAAGACCTTGGAGCAGAGCCGCCAGCGGCACGTGATCAGGCCTAGAAACCTGAAAAGCAGCCGTCCGAAAGCAAAAAGTGAGGGGGGCGGGGGGCCAGGTCATCAATGAAATTCCTCTCTTGGTTTGGGGCTTTAGGGTCTTGGCGAGGACGGCTCTTGCCGGTTTCAGCAGCCAGCGGCTACCACGCTGGCCCAGCCCGTTGTCATTTGTAAAGGAGGGCATGCTTAGCAGAACAGGTGGTGAGACGCGAAGTGAGTTCTGCTACATGGCTTGTGCCAAACCAGATGCTTGTCTGCATGGCTAAGGGTTGGCTGCATGATTTGGCTGCCTGGTGCGCAACAGACTTCCAGTCCAGCTAGGGCATTACGTCTCACCAAACCAAGCTCAGATACTGCCAGTATTTGAGGGCCCGTAGATTCCAGCAAGCTTCAGCTAACTCCAACCCCCCCCCTCCCCCCAAGTCTAGAAAGCTGCACCCTGAAGCTGACACACTAAGCCTCAAAGGACATCCGAAACCACCGATCAAGTTGCTACTGGATGTTGTGTAGTCTCGATTCTCGAAGCTCCTAGCAGCCGCCATGGCACACCTTGCTGAGGAGGGGCTTTGGTGATTTAGTTAGGACCCCCCTTGCCCCTTTTGGGCTATCGGCACCACCCGCCCCAATCTAAGATATACAATATGGAAAATCCTATTCACACTCTAGATCCCAATACTCCTATCTACCTAGGTGCCATATCCCAAAAGGGGCGAGGGGTTCGTTATAGAATTTTGGTTCAGGGTTTGCAGTTAAGGATTGTAAACCCTAAGGTTCTACGGTATGCCTCCCAGGTATTTCGGAGCTAGCCCAAGGTATTTCCCAGCTAGTCTGAGATTCTACGGAATCAATTCTAAACGGCACGGGTCCAACACCACACCCGAGCAAGATCGACAGACTATCCCGAACGAGCTTCAAGGACACCCCGCACCAACAACTCCAACCCAAGAAGCCAATCCTGAGGCAAGAACTCAAGAAATTAAAATCTTCTGCTGTTGCCGTGTGGTAAATTTCAAGTAAAACTTTAGGATCTGCTAATGCTCCGAGTTCTTCAATAATACTGTCCAGTTCTTTTTTGTTCCTTAACGGAATATAAATAACTGTGTTGCATTTACCCTGATCACAGGATGGAGTATAAAAGCCTTTTGTGATGCTGTTATTACACTAATACCAGCATGTCTTCCACGAACATATAGCGACTGTAATAATCTATTATGACGTGCTATTTCAGGGGCATCGGCTATATCGTCCAGTATCACTAGAATATTATAGAGTTTCTTTTCTTTGTTGTCTTTCAACTATTTGGTGACCTTTGTTTGGTTATCAATAATTTTCATTAAATCTTCGCCTTTGTATTCTTCAAAGAAGCATGTTTATCCTTATCTTCATTCACTTTGAGTTCATCCTTGACATATTTCTTCACAGGCAACCAAATACTATCGTGATTCATTGAGGGTGAGAACAGATACAATCGTTGAAAAACATTTCGGTATATATCTAATATTAACGATAC